TCTGCTGGACGATACACTCAACACGGTGAAACGTCTGGAGTGGAAAACACTGAGACTGTGGAGGATGTAAACGTGTGGACAGTGAATTATCTGTCGGATGTAGAGCCTCTGTTTTATCTCCCAGAGTTGGTACCACCGGAGGACTTCTGGAAAAACGTCGGACATGTTTTTAAAAATATTTCTAAAAGCAATGATGAACAAAATTCAGCTTTCATTCTTTGTTTTTTGGGGGATTTCTGTCACACAGGGAGTCAGAAATGTGACAGAAGCAGCAAACGTTGGTAGAAACTGCATTAAATGAACGTTAATGTGGTGACGTTAATGCAACTCTTCAACCACTGACTGTTGCAGAAACTCATTTGCAAAGTGCTTTACATACACAAGGGGAAATAAAAGCACGTTTAATGGATGCAAATACTTTTATATGAGGAGAAAATACATGAATGAAGCGTTGTGTGGATCTTTTTGGTTCGTTCTTGGATCGACCGCCGACCTTCCTGAGATCCTGAAGCGTCGCGTCGCGCTCGTTGCAGCGCGTCCGTCCGCCAGAGTCGAGCCACGCTGCAGCTTCAGACGGGAACTTCCTCTGGTTTCTGGCGTCGCTTTGTTCTCCGGCTCTTTGTGTTTGCAGAAAAAGCGTCACACGGCTTCCTTGGCGCTGGCTGCCGGGAGGCTTTCCAGGACTCTGAACCCTGAAACGAGTCAAAACCCTGAAGTGACGTCTTGTGACCTGAAAGACTTGCTCTGAAGAAACCAGTCGGCGCAAAGCGACGAGCGGACGATCACAGCACTCGTTTCTGAGTGTGAACCGAGCACAAAAGTGACTTCTGAACCTCACATCGAACGTTTTCTTGTTCCCGTCTGATTTTTACTCACTGTGGACTCATTTTTTAAAAAACTTTAATATAAAGTCGTGCATCTCTGGAAACAGAACAACCAGCAGGGAAACGTTCACAACACAGTTATTACGACACAAAGACGAAAGAAAAGCACGACAAGATGCACAAATGACTCAAAAAGACACAAAAATGACACTAAAAGGTTCAAAA